TTATATGAGACGGTGGATAAAGCTTGGGGCCTAGAGCCAGGAAGACCTGAGTTCAAAATCCAGCCTCAGACACTGACTGCGTGACACTGGATAATCCACTTAACTGCTGTTTGCCTCAGTTTCCTCATCTGCAAAATGAGGATAATAACAGCAACCATCTCCCAGGGATGTTGTAAAGATCAAAAGAGATAGTAACTGTAAAGGACTTAATACAGTGCCAAGTACATAGTAAGCACTATATAAAAGTTAGCTGTCATCATCATCATCATCATCATCATTTATTCTTAAACAAAACAAACCCACAACTGATATATATTTTAAAAGTTGTTGTTAGTAAAGTCTTAAAGGAGGCAAAGGAGTTGCCATAGCACACACCAGAAATTAATGGAGTAATGAAGCAAAGCTCTGTGTCCTTGCCAAGTGTTCATGCTTACCCACCCTTCTCTTTTTCTACTTCAAGTTTTGTAAAAATCACCTGGCAATTTATCACATATAATTGCCCAGCCTTTTACGCTGTGCCATTAGGATCACTTCTGATTTGTGGTCTGGCTCTATTTCAGTATCACCTGACATTAGGAGTATTTCATCCACATATCAAACCATCCTCCCTTTAGCCAGAAATCCAAATAGTAGCTTTGAGTTGCTCTTTGCTATGAAAGGAAGACAGCTAATCACAGATTTTGCCAAAAATACTCCATTTTACAAATGTTTTTTTTTGTTCGTTTTGCTTTCGCTTTTTGGTGAGGCAATCAGGATTAAGTGACACTCACACAGCTAGCAAGTGTCAAGTGTCTGAGACCGGATTTGAACTCAGGTCCTCCTGACTCCAAGGCCAGAGCTCTATCCACTGTGCCACCCAGCTGCCCTACAAATGTATTTTTATTATAAAATCTAGACTATAAACTCCCTTGGCTAAGATCATCTTCCCAGTCAGCTTCTCACCATGTATATACTGAATGGATGTATCTGATCTGAAGCATATATGCCCTTCTTTAGTTTTACTGAAGAGACCAAGATCCTGGAAGGTTTTCGAATCCCAACAGTTGATGCAGTATTCCCTGCCCACATTCCACCTCTGCAAAGAAGAGAGCAAAATGCATTTTCTCATTCCTTCTTTGGGTGCAACCTTGGTCATTATGATGGTCATTATTCAATTTTGTTTCCATTTACACTGTTGTAATTATTGTGTATATATTTTCCCTGGTTTGGCTTACCTTATTTTGCATTGGTTCGTGTAAGTCTTCCCATGCATGCTTCTTCTCCTCCTCCTCCTCCTCCTCCTCCTCATTCTTCACAGCACAATATTTCATTACATTCATATACCATAATTTGTTCGCCATTTCCCCATCAATCTACTTTGTTTCTAGTTCTCTGCTACTACAACAAAAAATTCTATGAATATTATCATGTTTGTGGGACCTTTCTTTTAAAAATAACAAGTATCTATCGAGTGTTTACAATAACCCAGGCACTGTGCTAAGCGTTGGAAAGACAAATACAAGTAAAGGCAGTCCCTACCCTGAACAGAATTAACATTCTAATGGGGGAGACAACACATAAAAGGAAGTTTAAGGAGGAGAGGAGATGATGAAGGTACTCAGCTCAGGGATATGATAAGAGAAATCTGGAGTATAGTCTAGTGAGAAATGAAGACATGGCTAACCTGAGCAGCCTCCTTAAATGGAGGTTCTGAGAGGAGCCATTTAATCAGAGGGTAGTTCTAAGGTATAAATTCCATGAATGGACTGATCTTCCAGGATGAAAAGGTTTCTACATTTGACTTCCTTGGAGGTAAACACCTAGCAGTGTCAAGACCCCAGAATGATGAAATTTGATTCTGCTTTAGCCCTTTTCTTTTATATACGGTCTCTTGCCGTACACAAAAACCCTATCATACATTCACCCTTTTTATCTGAATGATGACATGTAATTCTAAGGGTAGGATTTTGTCATTTTCATTCATACTTCAACACCTAAATATTTTTTCAGGACCCACGAATGACAATAAATGACTTTAAAAGAAAAGGATTCCCATGAGGTGGCTAAAATTAGTTTTACAGTATTTTCATACAAACCTTGGATGACTAACACACACACACACACACACACTCAGCAAAATAAAACCAGAAGTTCCTTTGTAGTATTTTAGTGTATCATATGGTAACATCATGAATACTGATAAAGTAATTGGAATGACTGTGTAAGGGTCAGCAATCTTAATTAGTAATATTTATGTGCAAAGCAAAGCAGTCTAATGCTTGAACGCCTGAGTGCCTGGTTCTGTTCTTGGCTCTACCTCTGCATGACCTTGGGCAAATTACCTCACATCCCAGTTAAAGGAAGCAGGTATAATCCCATGTGTCCATTACTTTATGCATTCTCATTAATCCTCATAGCTCCCCTGGGAATGAAATGTGAGCTATTCAGGGACAGGTGTTATTAAAATACAATGTAATATTATTCCTCCATATCTACATAGAGTAACTATAAAGTAATGAGAATGATTATCTTAAACCACACAATACTAAATAATCCTCAACCATTACTTTTTCTGATGCTTAAGTTCACTCCTCAACTTGAACACTCATTTCACTAGCCACAGTGAAGGCATTTCACTTTCCTGGCCCATTCATTTGTAATCTGTCGGAAGTGTTTTCAGATTTAATTTTCCAGCCTACAGATTCACTTCATTTCCTGTTGTAATGCTAATTTTAGCAGCTATATGGGGTTGTTTTCCTTGATCTTCCTCCACTAACTTTTTTTTTTTGGTTAGGCAATTGGGGTTAAGTGACTTGTCTAGGGTCACGCAGCTAGTAAGTATGTGTCTGAGGCCAGATTTGAACTCGGGTCCTCCTGACTCCAGGGCTGGTGTTCTATCCCCTGTGCAACCTAGCTGCCCTTTTCTCCACTAAATAACCTTTTTTTATAGATGAGAAAACTTGAGATCCATACAAGTTTATTGTGACTAAAATCACACAGATATTGTGTGCAAAGTTACAAATTAAATTCTGGTTTCCTGAATCCAAAGCCAGGGCTTTTTCCTGATCCATGGGTTTTTTCCTTATTTATTCCTTTATTACATCTTTCATGATGGAAAAACTTTTCAGGTACTAGGTTTGAGCTCTCTTCTAACCTGTTTCCATATGATTGCCATCGTAGCTCTTACCCCATCCTCCCTAATTTTTGCTGTCCCTCATTTTTTGAAAGATCAGTTCATGAAGGCCACATCAGGTGGCAGTAGCACAGTGTGATGGGAGTCCCTCTGGGCTCTACATTGGAAGGACCGGTCCAATCCTCTGTTCTCCCTTTGCTTAGTCTCCACTTCTATGGCTGTTCTCCTCTCTCTGGTTCTATGATCCCCTTCCACTTTGGCTGCTGACTGCCGCTGGGTACTCATACAATCTCTCTCCTAGAGTAAGACACTATCCAAGCAAGTACAACCCCTTCCCAGAGAAAGTGGCTCCCAAATGTTTGGATTGTCTCCAGAAAGATAGTCCAGGGCTCTCTCCATAAGAATACCTCAACTACATGTGATTTCTTTTCAGATTATATACATCCCATGTTAACAAAAGATGACCAAACCATGGTTGCACACAAGGTACAGATTATCAGCTTATGTAACTCCAACCTACAAACAGTTCCAAAAGTGGGATATTCTTAGGTGCATAGAAATAAGATTAATACCTTGTTGGGTTCCTTGGATTTAAATGACTAATAGTAGTGTGGTCTTAGAGAACCTTTTAAATAGTCTGTCAGATAATTCTGAGAAAACTATTGACTGCTCTAAGACTTGAAATTTTAAAATAAAGAGGGTATTAAAAAAAACAATGTGCCTTACATTTGACTTATGATCATTAGGAATAGAAATTATCCAAAATAGGTATAGACCTTGAGGCCTTCTTGCCCTCATCTGTAACCCTCCTTCAGAAACAAATATTAAAAAGACCTAGACAGGTGTCTCAACATCTTCCCAACATTAGCAAGCTCTCCTTAAGAGAGTGAAGGAAACTCAAGCAGGCACCACCCATATCAAAGTATCAATAGTAGTATTTTATAGATATTCTAACCAATATTTTAACTCTTCCTCTTACCATCATTTAAAATGTAGCAAAATCAGACAACAGTATTTTATATAGGCCATGGGTAAATAGCTATCTTAAAGACAAGTATCTGTTATCTTAAGATGATCTGAAAACTTGTATCCTATATTAATAGTCTCATGGGTTTTTTTTTAATGGCTTGCTGGCAAATCATCAAAATTCAATGGTGCACAATTCTTTTTTTTTTAAACTGTTAATTTTCCCCAATAATGAAACTTTTATTTCTTGTAAAATAACAGGATAATTTCTTAAGGAAGAAAAGCTTAGTCAGAAGAGTTACTTCTTTCACAATTAGTTGTCTTTGCTTCTTTTTTTCTCCCTCACCTCCAGGACCATCCCAGATAAATCTGCTAAATGCCCCTCACTTTTGTGGGCCTCCTGGAATGTCCTATTCTTTCTAACATCAATTGAAAGTCCATCTCTCTTCATGTTTCTTTCCAGACAAATCAGACACTGATTTTTTTTTCTCCAACTGAATATAAACAGAAAACTTCCCAAGATTGCCCCTGTCTTAATCGAAAAAGGCAAGAAACCATATCTATGTAATTTTTCTTAGGATAGTGTTCAGCACGGCAGAATAGAACTCAATAAAGGCTATTCCACTGTGGTAAGGCATTCATAGTAGTTTGATATAGCTACAGTACTTCTATTAACTGGCATAGTGCTTAGAGTTCTGGACTCGCTGTCAGGTAGACAAGGTTCAAATCCTGCCACCAACAAATAATAGCTGTGTTACCCTGGGCAAGTCACGCAATTCCTCTGTGACTCAATCTTCCTATCTATAAAATGTGAGGGTTATACCCGATTTCTTCAGTCTCCTCAAGCTCCAGATATGTTAGAAAAAATGAAGCAACAAAAAGCTAAACAATTCTCTAACATTAAATTATAGTAACATCAAACTAAACACAAAATACTGCAAAAGTTTATTTTATACAAACAATAAGAAACAGATTTATCACATCCTTAACTAAATCTCTTTTTACTTTTCTGAATGGCAAGTGCACCACACAATCTCCACAGTCTGACTGAGCACTCTTATGTACAGTGTAAATTTCTACTTTTGACTTCTGGTCTAAATAACTCAAAAATAAAATATCTTCCAGAGTCTCGGAGTCTAATGTAATGAAGTAAGAATTCAGAAGTGAAGAATTTAGGAGGCTTAGATCATCTTTCTTCCGAATTAATCCTCAGAAGAATGATAATCATCTTCATCCCTCACTTCTCTGTATTTCACTGATGCATCACCTTCAGGATTATAGCTCTTCATTTTAATATTCAGTCTTTCAGCCAATTTTTGTGCAGCAAGCTTGGCTTGAATTTCCTTTAAATGAAAAAATTGACATCAAACTTTTGTATTTTTCCTCACACAATATTTTCATTGCTTAAAAAATTCTACTGAGCATATACAAAGCCCTTTTCACAAAAACATCCCTATACCTTGTCATTTAACTAATTTCATAAGTCATAGTATCTCAGAGTGTCCCACCCAACGCAGAAATACTCTCCAATTCAATCCACATTTATTGAGCAATCTCTATGTTGCAGGCACTGTACACTGCCGAAACAAAGCCAACCATGAAGACAGTTCCTGCCCTGAAGGAGTTTGTCTTCTACTGGAGGGGAAAAAACATCCCCAACAGACAGCATCTAAGCCCTGCTGTCTGAACAATTCTAGTGATGGGCTCACCATCTCATAAGGCAGCCCCTGTTATCATAAAGCTGTACTGACTGGATCCACTGATAAATGTGTGCCCTCTCACTCACTGGGCACTCATAGCTGCCTTTTCACCTACAAGGCTGATGAATAGAATAGAATAGAATAGAATAGAATAGAATAGAATAGAATACAATAGAATAGAATAGAATAGAATAGAATAGAATAGAATAGAATAGAATAGAATAGAATAGAATAGAATAGAACAGAATAGAATAGATCCAGCCTCCATGAGAGCTGCAACCATGCTCCACTGGCTCTTATGGACTTCTATTAGCAAGCAACAATAGATGGAAATAAACCAAATCTAAGCAAAAATCAGATAACTGGATTTGGGACTTGGAGAGTAATAAATATTGATGGACTTCTAAAGAAGTATACTGGTCAGCAACTTTTGTTATTAAAACACCAATATCACTCTAAGTGCTGTATTGATTCTCCCCCAGACAGAAGTTCCTACACGAAAACCCAGCTCTAAGAGTGTCAAATGCCACAATGAAAGCGAATAGACGAACACGGATATGGCTGTGTGTACAGGTGCCTGTTTAGAAAGTCTGTCTTTATAAATCTTCCATCTCGCCAATCTGATTACATCCACCCAAAGATTATGTAACCACCTGCTAGTGCCTGGTGGCCATATTCATTTCTATTTTCACACTCATGCTATCCCCTGTCAGTTGGATCTCTCTCTCTACCCAACACCCAGCTCCCCACATATTAAAGGAGACTCAAACTGGTAGCTAACAATACTGTAACGAGTAGCTAAAAATACTATAATAAATTCCCATTTGAGGTGGTTCATTTAACTTAAAAAAATTTTTTTTTCAAAAGCAGAACTCTCAACATGGCAGATGAAAAACAGTAAACCAAAACTAGCTATCACAGGCATCCACTGTAAACTAGACAATTTAGAGAACATGGTTCTTTAGCTCCACAGGTACAGGCAGGAACTTTACAAATAAACTATTTAAAGTATTGGAAGAAAAATTGCTTTTTTTTTTAAAGGCACAGACCTTGAAAATGTCATTGCATATAATCAAGTAATATTACACAACTGCTAATGGAACAGCCAGTGTTAATGGCAATATCCCTGTCCATTCATTGACCTATAGCACCTAATTGGAAATGTGATGCTACCAGGACGTACTATGCTAGAAGTTAGAAAGGGTTTGTCTACCTGGCAGCTTAAATAATCTACGACTCTTTTCCAACTTCCATCCTTCTTTGCAAACTTGAATATTTTATCAACATTGTACTTCCTTCCCATTTTTCAAGCTTATCCATGAAATGGTATGTGTTAAAGACTTTTATGCATTGTATATACAAGCTAAATAAAAATGGCTGACTGCAGCCAAAAGCAGTATACTCTTCATAGAGACTTCAAGATTCCACTTTTAAATATCCTCAATTAGGCATCCAAATCAGCAAACAAAAACAATGTTCTTAATACCTCGTAATTCTGTTTTTGCTGCTTCTGGATTATTAATGATTCTTCCATAGACAGCAACTGCGTAGGCATGTGGTGAAGGGGTGGCAGCCGAGCTGCTGTGATGTCATCCAGGTGCTGCCTCTCTCTGCGCCTCCTTTCTTCCACTGAAATTGGAGACGCTTTTCTCTGTGGGGAATGACTAGGTGAGTCATGAGATTCTGAAGGTAACCTAAAGGGAAAAAATGACAGTATTGGAAGTGCACAAGTTATAAGATCTATTTAGGCTACTATGTTTTAGAGAGATCTTATTTTAAACATTAACAAAGAATTTATCCAAAAATTAGGATATTTTCCTCTTGGAAGTAGAAAATTTTCTAAAAATGGCTATAGAAAATGACTTACATATTACAATAGCTTGCATAATTTCCCCTCTTTTCATCTGATACTCTGCAGAAATTTTGCAAGCATTTTATTCATCTTTGAAACCCTCATCTCCACTTACTAAAACAAGGTAACTGGTAAAAGTGAATTGGAATTTAGAGCTAACTTTTTTTTTCCTTCCTTCATTAATTCCTCCCATTACTGAAAAATGGGGGGCAGGTGAGAGGTTTAGAGAAAAAGACTGGTTTAAACAAGGCAACCAGATCATATATGAGCTTGTCAGAGAAACAGAGGGAGTGAAAGATTTTTATAGTAAATCAAGCAGCATTTATACTCAGGATTTCCTTTGAAGCTTAAAGCCTTGAGACTTAAGCATCTTTAACCTAGGAGAAACAGGCAGCTGCTGCAGCCCTTTCTCTTCAACAGAATGCCTATTCCTCCCATTCCTTCAATGTGGGCATGCCTTAAGACTCAACTTGGGGCCCTCTGCTCTACTTGCTGACTTTCTCTTCCTCAGTGATTTCATCTACTCTCATGGCTTTAACAAAGGCTTTTTCATTTCATTTCCCATGCTTCATCACTTTGCCAATAATTCCCAAATCTACATTTCCATTCCTGATGTCTCTTCAGACTTCAATCCCAAATCTTCAACTTTCTGCTATCTCCAATTAGCTGTCCTCTTATCTCATCTCAGCATGAATACAACCAAATTCATCGGACCTTCCCCAAAGCAGCTCTTCCTCTTCTGGACTTCTTTGTGACCAGGATAAGCATTTTTGCAGACACTGAAATGGTCCTATATCTTAAGATGAGCAGGAACATGAGTCATAGATCTAAAGCCAGAAGAAATCTCAAGAGTCCAACTAGTCTAAACCCTTCATTTACCGTAATGTTCAAAGGAAAAAAGTGGTTGGGAAGAAAGATAAGGAATTTGGTTTTAGATATGATTTTTTAGGGTTAGGCCTTCTACTCTCTAACCCCTCACATAACCTTATCTCAATTTCTGATAGTTCCTTCCATCTTAGCCAAAATGGTCTATTCAATACTCAGTGTTTCCTGAACATGCCCAACACATTCTTACCTCCAAGCTTTACTTACTCATAACTTTGTTTTGAATGAGCCCCTTTCTCTGCTTTCCACTTATCTAAATCCTTCAAGGTCCAGAATAAGTTCCACCTTTATAAAGCCCTCTTCAGCCATCACTAGCCCTTCAGGATAGCTCTTTCTGAATTCCTGTAGAACTTATAACCTATTATTCATTTAGCACTTTCCATCCACTACCTTGTATCATTATTTTATGTAAAAGCCCTAGCTCCTCAACTAACTTGTAAAGTCTTCAGAAGCAAGTACTATATCTTACGTGGGCAGTCAGGTAGCACAGTGGATAGAGTAACAGGCCCTAGAGTCAGGAAGACTCATCTTCCTGCATTCAAATCTGGCCTCAGACAGTGATTAGCTGTGTGACCCTGGGAAAGTCACTTAACCCTGTTTGTCTCAGTTTCCTCATCTGTAAAACTGAGCTGGAGAAGGACAAAGCAAACTACTCCAGTATTTTTGCCAAGAAAACCCCAAATGGATGAGTCAGACACAACTGAAACGACTGAACAAAAACTATCTTATGCTTCTCTTTGTCTCCCCAAGGTTTGGGATAGCATCCTACAGACAATAAGCAATCATAAACACTGAAGTACTAAAAATGTGAACTATTATTATTATTCCACATACAAAACATTTAAATCTCAAAAGAATTTTGTGACAGCATTAACTTATCCTAGAGGAATGATTCCACTGGCAAGAATGCCATGCTGGCAATTGCGTTGGGGAAGATGTTGGGATGGACCAATGCTTTATAGTCTGTCTTGCAAAAAGCTATCTACAGAGAGGGCAGGGAAAACAAATCTGGCCCTCAGTTTAATTGCATCTCATCCTGGCAACTGCATTAAGATCAGCACATCCTAGAGAGCAATTTCCCCTTCCAGGAAATCAAATGGCTATTTTATTCAAAGCTGACTGTGGAGGTTAGATAAAGTGGCTAAAGAGCTGTGTTAACACACTTCTTCCTAAAAGGTTCTTCAAATCTGTAAATTATAACAGTTATACCAAGACACTAGTATATGATGAAAATCACAGGGACCAGTAACATACAGACCCAGCTAATATGATGAGCAATATTTCTAAAATTCCAAAGCTTTAAAAAAAGATTCTAAAGTTCCAAAGCTTCCAAAGTTTAAGCTATTGTTTAAAACCCATGCTAGACTTTTGGGACAACCTTCCTATTTCTAAAATTTAAGCCACCCTTCCACATATATATGTCTTCAAGAATTAAAAAAAAAAACTTCCAAGATAAGTTATGAAGTTTGAAAACAAAGAATCTAATTTTCAGTTCAGAAAATATAATTGATATTTCAAAAGGAAGCAATATTTGGAGATAACTGTTTATGATACCTACATAACCCAAATGAATTAACAGGCCATGACCAAAGCAGTATTTTTAACACTTACCTTTGAACTAGGGTCCCTCAACCTTTAAGGAAGGCTTTGAATGCTCTCCATTCCCTTCTCTACAATTGTCCTACTTCTGATGCCCCTGGAAGCCTATAAACACTGAAATGGGAGCTTGCAGGAGCATACTGGTAGTCTTCAGTGCCTTTGGATCAACTGTGCTATCCAGTTCCATTAAAGTGCTACATACACAGTAGGGAAAGATCCTGGCAGAGAATGGCCCATTCCTCAATATCTACCCTGGGTGGCAATCTCTATATAAGAGGGGCAGCTGGGTGCTGTAGTGAAGAGAGCACCAGGTTTGGAGTAGGAAGACTCATCTTCCTGAGTTCAAGTGTGGCCTCAGACAATTCTTAGCTGTGTGACCCTGGGCAAGTCACTTAACCCTGTTTGCCTCAGTTTTCTCATCTGTAAAATGAACTGGAGAAGGAAATGGCAAACCACTTCAATATCTTTGCACAAGAAAATCCCCAAATGGGGTCACAAAGAGTCAACAACAACTGAGCCTCTTTGTAGGTGTATCATTTTTCAGACGAAGCAACAATTCTGGATTCCTCTTATACTCTTTGCGTTTCTCTTCTGTCCCCTTTCATCTCTCCACCATGCCTCCTACTCTACCTCTCGCCCTCCCCTGCCAACTGGCCATATGATAGAAATAGATATCTAAGAATTCATCAAAAAGCTTGGAACTCTAAGGGACCTCAGTGGTCTAGTCCAACCCTTACCTGGAATAGGAATCCACTCTACAAGAACTCACGCTCCCATGACTGTGAGGCCCTGCTTTAGTTCCCCTAAGATTATGAGCTCTTTCTCAAGGGCAGGGACTGTAGTTTTGCTCACCTAACAGAGTACTGAGCACATAAGAGCATTTAAAGATAGAACTGAAAATCTGTTTTTAATAGCTCTGACTGTTCTTTCTTGTACTTAACTGAAATCTGCCTCCCTATAACTCTGCTGTTCCTAGTTGTGCTCTCTGGAGCCAAAAATAATCTAATCTCTTTTCCAAATGACAACCCTTCACATATTAGAGGACAGAGTACTCTCTATTGTGCTCTCCTCTCCCCCAACTCCTCTGTCACATTAAAGCAGCCCAAGTTTCTTAACTAATCCTTGTAGGGCATGGTTTTCAAATTCCATTGCCTTCCTGGTCATCCTGATTTGGACTGCTCCAGCTTGTCAACATGGCACTTCAGAACTGGACACGGTCAGAAACGAAAAGAGGACTAGCCATCCCCTGGACTACACATATCTTCACAAACTATTTGTATTAATGTAGCTTAAGTATGAATTAGCTGTTGACATTCTGAGCTACAGATAAAAGTATAAAGTGCTTTGTAAACTTGAAAGCACTATATAAATGTGAGTTATTATTAATTTTAAACATGCAGGCTTTTTTAACTTGTCCTAGACACATCTAAACCAAAATGTCTATGATTTGCTATATTTATTGACACCTATTCTTAAGTTTCCCTGCCTATAGGTGCAAAAACAGACCTCTCCTTAAAATATTTCTTCTAGGAACTGCAAAAATTGGGAATTAATGTTTTGACTTTCTACAAAAAGAGCCCTTTCCTAGGTCAAAAATTAATTTTTTAAATTTTTTTAAGCCTGTACACTCTTTTTATAGCAAATACTTCCAATAATTTTTAAAATTTAGTGAATTTTTTCAATTAAAGCACTGCTCTTAACAAATGAAAATATTGTTTCTTAGATGTTTGCCTCTCCTGGCTTTTGCAAACATTTATGTTATATCTTCATATTTGTAGCAGATTGTCAATTGTTCCTATTCGGACCTGACAGTTATTTGCACAAAAGGCAGTGGGTTTTTTTTAGAACAGTTTCTATTTTTTTAAGGGCTCACTGAGATGGAAGGGGTCAGGAAATAAACTTTTTTTTTTTTTATGATCCTGCTAGAATCTAGAATCACAGAGTTAGAGCTGAAAGGGACTACAGAAATTTTCTAGCCCAGGGCCTCTCAAACTTTATTATGTCAGGACCCCTTTAGCAGTCTGCTGATGGGTATGGATCCTCTCTTCAAATAATGTTTGTTTTTAAATTTAAAAATTGAAGGAACTGCTAAATTTCAGTTGAGGTTAATAAAAACATGTATTTTTTCCCCTCACGAAAGTTTATGGACCCTCTAAGATCTATGCATAGATCCCTTGGTGGTCAGTGTACCCAGGTTTAAGAATCCCTTAATCTAGTCCAACCCCTTCAACTTTTATTTGGAGATAATTGTTGCTGATGAAACTGAGGAACAGAGGAGCAGAGTATCTTAACACAAAGGTAGCAGACTTGGAATTTGAATTCAGGTCTTTTGAATCCAAATCCAGAGCTCTTTCCATT